TCCTCGTCATTGACTCCTTAGCGCAACACACGAGCTTTCTGGCCCAACCCTGATATAGAACCTTCTTTTTTCAACAAATATAATATAATATAATATAATATAATATAATATAATATAATATAATATAATATATAACATATAGCTTCGGAACCGGGGACATGCGTCTGCGGCTTCGACCTTCGACTTTCCACAATTCCTTACACTCTGAATTAATGGTTCGCTGCTTGGGACTCTATAAAGTCTACGTCTATGTAGCAGCATCATCCCGGCGGCAATTCTGTGAGCAGTTTCGCAAACTTCAACCACAAATTCCAATTCCGAATTGGAACCCTCCAAACCCTAAGCCCCTAAAGCCTACACCGGCTCTACGATCTCGCTTCAGGGTTACTGCAGGAAGCTGTATTTAAAAGCAGCCCCGGTACCCTGGCCCCGAAAGGCAACCAAAATCTTAGACTGCCTTGTCGAACTTTCGATACAACCGAAAAAGGGTGACCCTAAATCTTTGCCTCCAAACTATTAACCCTAAACCCTAACACCCTAAACTCTAGACCCTTAACCCTGCAAGCGAATTCCATCCAAGAGACGGCTCATGGTTCGTCTGGACGACGGGGCTGCCGCGGTATTCGCGGCAGCTTGTGAGGCGTAGCAGGTCTGCAGAGGGGTTTAGGGTTTAGGGCAGAAAGGGGTTTGACATGTCATTCTGGGTTTAGGATGTACAGCTTACACTGCGAGTTGCTCTAATGTTGAGAGACGCTTTGCAAGGAGATTTCCGCAGGATTTGTCGTGGTTTCGCTCTGTCCGGGGATTCAAACTTACTTGCCCTTGTTCGCCACGGGTGTTTCGAAAGTTCGGGGGTTCGCCTAAGGCATACCTAAGTTCATAGCGGCTTCCGTGAGTCAAGGCGAAAAGCAACCAGTAGTTTGGAAAGGCATTTCCTTTTTTCCCTCCTGGCAGCTATGGGAGATTTCCGAGAACTGTATTCTGGAACATTGCAGTGGCTACTAAAGCAATCACAACAAACCATAAACCAAATACCAGGAAAACCCGCCTTAACATGTCTGATTAAGTGCTACGTAGTCTCAAAGCCATAGGTTCTACACCCCTCAATGAAGACCCCTTACTCAAGGTCCAAATATGTTCAAGAAATCACAAGAAAACTTTTTCAGTATTGAACTTCATAGTTTTTGCTGACCCAATGCCAAAAGCACTAAACTAAACTCTAAAGCATCAACTCCTTATCCCCCTCAGGTCCGATACTGACACCTACATACACACACACACATATATATATATATACTATGTTGAACCACCCTTGTAAAGCCTGAGCGAGCCCCCTGTGTTACATCGTGGGGCCTGAACCCTACAAACCCTAAAACTCTGAATGGTGAGCCCTATACCTCATCGAAGCCCTCATATAAGCCTAAGAGAACCCTGCACAGCCCTTGCATAACCGTATACTTACTCGAAGCTTAACAACGAAACCAAAAGTATAAGCCATATGAATCTATACTAACCGACGAACCTCCGGAAAAAAAAAAAAAAAAAAACGCTTCGCCGACGCTTTCGGGAATAATCCGGCGGGCCATCTCCAGGACGGCGCCATATTCCAAAAGACGGGCAGCTGAGTCGCTCGCTGCGACCTGATGAGTCTTCGGTTGAGGCTTTAGGGCTTAAGGTTTAGGGTTTAGGGCTTAAGGTTTAGGGTTTAGGGTTTAGGGTCTAAAAGCTCAGGTTTTAGGGCTGCAGAGTTGTGCGGCTCTGACTAAGTCTACGTAGAAAATCGCCTTGGTGATGGTCCGGGCTTGAGGCCTGCAAGAAATTACGGCGCGCTTGAAAGCTTGCGACGTAAGCCACTGCGGTGTAACAGCTTTTTTAAAAGAGGGGCCGTAAAATTAAATAATTTTAATAGGGTTTGGGGTGGAGTACAGTGTTTTTACAACAAGGAACCCAAAGGTATTGGTACTTGTTCAGGCCTTTATGTTACAGCCAGGTATTCGGTCGTCCGTCGCTCCAGATGTCCCTAAACCGCAGCCCTCCTAAGCTCGGCCGTGATCCGAACCAAACCTTAAAGGCCTCAAAAGACCGCAGACAGAGGAGGGTTTGGGGTGCATGGCATAGATATCAGAACAGCAGGCCTTGCGATGACATCAATCCGAGGCTGATTTCAGAACCACAAGCCTCAAAACCAGTGATTGCAAGAAACCTAGCCTGCAAATGTACTTGGAACTTGGAGCCCAAAGCCCTACATGCAATGGCAAATCCACGGAACCCGAGCCACGGCCCCGAAGTGTGAATTTCCTGCCATACCCCAAAACTTTTAAAGGCTTGAACTCTGGTTGTCGAGACTAGACTCTAATTAGATCCTGTGAGCCCGGCATTCCTAGTCAATCGAATCCTGGAATCTAGGGCTTTGATTTGACATTCTCGAGTCTGCTTGGGTCGTCCTAAGCAATAGAAACCTCAACGCCCCCACCTCTAGACCTCTCCATCCTGAACCCTCAATGCTGTAGTGGCCTCAATAGTTAGAGAGTAGGGCTTGGTTGGGGTTTAAAAGTGTATAGAGTAGCCATAGTGGTTCCTTTTTGGGAGTTATATTTAGGATTCTGTAAGTTAATCCCAAAAAGGAACTACTACGGAGCCTATGGGTCTAGAGTCGTATGGAGGCTACAAGCAAATACTGTTTCGCTGAATATTCAGGCCGGTATATTAAATGATTTACGGGTTTTCGTTGCTAGTATTCCATAATCAATTAAAGCCCAACTAAACAATCGAGAACAATATTCTTTTTGCGGCCTATATACCCTCACCAAAAACCGAATATGCGCCCTACGTCACGTCCTGAGCTGTAATGCCCAAAGCCCGTAGACCGTTAAGGACCAAATGGTCCTCAAAAGTAGGGGCCCTATGAAACCCTATATGATCTTCGAACCCTTAAGCCTTTCTGGGTGAATTTCGTCCTTCAGGGACCCTAAACCCTAAACCCTAAATTAAGGTGTAGGGGTTTACGGTTTAGGGTTAAAACCCTAAACCCTAAACCCGCAACCTCCAAACTTTTCTTGGGCCCTTTGTCTGTCGCGAAGACCCGGCCTGGGCGGCTAAACTCCCCGTGGTCGACATCCGGAGGACCTGCCGTGAGGATTGTTTCAAGTTTGGGTTTAGGCTTTAGGGTTTAGGGCTTAGGGTTTAGAGTTTAGGCTTTAGGGTTTGGGGTTCCTGCAACTCGAAGGCGATTGAAGAAGCACACCCAGACTGGCAACCAGAACGGAGATCCCTGTGCAGAACTAAACAGGAAACCTTGGGGCCTCATAAGGAGATACGATGACCCCTAAACCCTAATCCCTAAACCCTATAAACCCTAAAAAGGGACCCTAAATATGTGTTCTAACATCTATTTTCGGGGCTGCTTGGTTTGGGCATTGGGGCTGAAGTTTCAGGGCCTCACCTTGACACCATAGACCGTAAACCTATTAGACACCTTCGAGTTTCGGGTACCGGCGTCAGGGTGTAATGTAAAGCTTACACCTGTAGCATCAAAATAGCCCAAAGGCCTTTTTTTATAGGGTCTTTAGGCCCAAAGGCCTTAAAATATGAGTGCGTTGAGGGTAAGGGTTATAGGGTCGAGGCCAGGGTTGATCGTCAGCCCTGCACCATGCATTCAAACGGCACCACCTCTGAGACAGAAACACATCCCTAAAACCCGAAACCCTACAACACCCTAAACCCGAAACCCTAAACCCGAAACCCTAAACCCTAAAACCCTGAAGCCGAAAACCCTAAAACCCTAAACCCCAACCCCCACAAAAAACAAAAAAAGAAACCGACCCCAGAGAGCCCAAGACCCCCTAAGTAAGGACATATTTCTTCATTATAAGGAGCCGTTGATGGTTTAGGGTCTATAGGGTTGGGTTAAGCTATATATTCCTAAACCCTAAACCCTAAACCCTGGCTACCCGAAGCCCAATGGGTCCTTGGGCTGTCTGGGAATCTCTGGCGCCTCCAGAAGGCTTGGCTCCGCTATCAGTCGGGCCCAGGGCACTCGAAGACACAGCGCCTGACATCTCTCACTCGGGTTTAGGGTTTAGGGTTTGGGGCCGCTTGGGGTTCAGGATTTAGGATTTTGGGTTTAGGGTTTATTATGGGTTTAGGGTTTAGGGTCTTGGAGTTTTGGGGTTTTGGAGTTTGTTGCTGAGGGTGTAGGATCTGGGGCTTGACGTTCTCAAAGGGCTTCCGGGGGCAAAGGTGGGGCTTACCTTGCGGGGTTGACCACTAATACAGCAGCCTCGTTTTGGACATCACCCTATATGCCCTAAACCCTAAACCCTAAACCGGTTTCCTTTCAAAGAGAACCTCCCGAGTTCTTCAAGGGGCATGGCAAGGACCATGAATGATTTGAACAGGGTTGCGGGGGACATTCGAAGATTAGTCTAAGGACTGCAAAGGGATCCGAATACCAATTGTTCCGACACCTCTATTTTGGGCTGTATGAGGGTGTCGTAGGGTGACGGTTTCAGCTTAGTTTTTTTGGAGGTAGCCTTGGCCTATGGATCTGGCTGTCCCATCGTGGGAAGCTGCATGAAACTTGTTCGGAGAACAAACCCAGATTGCCGATTATTTCTATGATTGACTCGATACCCGCAACCCAAAACCTCAAGCCCTAAAAACTCCTGAATCCGGACCCGTGTGAGCACGGGCTAGGCAACGAGCAGCTTTTACAAGGGTGGCAACAGGCTGTTGACATCTGGCAGCTGGTTCAGCTGCGCAAACTCCTTGAGTAAGACTTTAGAGTAGCCTTCCACAACTCTTCGAGTTGGCAAGGGCCGGTATGCCCACTCCTCCTTCGGAAGGAGGCGCCTCACTACCGACGGCCTAGAGCTTCCCAACTTAGGCCAAGGCCTCTGCAAAGCCGGGGCCTTGGCCTCCGCGCGCGGCGGCTTCGGCCCTTTCCGGCCACCTTTCGAGGCACCCTTCACGGGGAGGCCCGGGAACTTCTTTTCCATCCACTTCTGCTTCTTCTGGCGACCTGTGAGCACGGGCTCCGGCGGCTCTAGGGCTGCAGGAGACGCCTCCTCCATATCCAGAGCCCCATCGGTCGGAGCAAGAGGCTCCTGTGACGCGTGCACGTCAGCTTGGTCGGCAGCATCCGTTTCAGGTTGGAGGTGCAGATCGTGAGGGTCCTCTGACATTTTATTCAGGTCTTCTTCCACCTCTGAGGTGGCAATGGAGCCCCTTTCTATCAAAAGCGGTCTGGCCGGAACCGACTGGTTGAGCCTCGCTGGCTCTTGAGGAGCTATGTCCTCGGCCGGTGGCTGCAGGGCATCTTCTTCGCGAGGCACAGGAGGTGTAGGCTGCGGCTTTGGCACAGCCTGCGGCACTTCCTCCACCTAGGTTCTCCAGCTGCAGTAACCCCTTAATAGTAAGGGTACCCTTTTTCCTAACATTCGGTTTTAATCAGGAGACCCAAAATTGAATACAAAAGGGCAAAAGGGTACTACTGAGGAACCTGGCCACCTCTGCCTCGTCACAGCTCCAGTTGATTTCTTCAGGCGCTTCAGGCTCAGAGAGGTCTTCGTCTCCACCCTCCGCCTCAGCCGAAGCAAAGTCCTGGCTCTGTTGCTTCTGGCGCTTCGTCTGCTCCACCTCCAAAGGGTCAAGGCCTTTGGAAACTGCATCCAACAGCTCTCCCAGGTCCAGTGTCATGCAGCCTTTTCCTGGTGCTTCTTGCCCAAGCCTAGAGTGCCAAGGCGCTCTCGAGTCTTCTAGAACTTCCGCCGGCTCCTGCTCTTCGCCAGGAGTTTGTGGCTGCGACAGTGGTTCTGTCGCCGCCAAACTTTCACGCTTCCTCTCTGCGGAATGCTGGTACCAGCCCCACCTCTGCTCATCTTGGCTCTTGTAGTCAGACAGCACGCGCTTCTTTCGCTTGACCTGCGCTGGGACTTCTCGAGACGCAGCTGGATCAGAAGGGCCTTGCGGCTGTCGTTGCTTCGCTCGCGCACGCTGCGGGACCTGCGCTATATCTTCCGGTGTCTGTGCAACCTTTGTGGATCCCGGAGACGTCGCAGGAGCGAGCGGCCTCTTCTTCAGTTCCTTCTCACGCTGCAATACAACTCGCTCCCTTTCACGGAGCTCATGCTCGCGCACCTGCTGCTGACGGGCCGTCTCCTGGAAGTCCCTCTCTTTGTCCTCACCGAAAAAATATAGCATACAGGCCAACAGCCACCGCCATCAAGACAGCGACGTCGACGACGTCGACGACGACGACGACCACAACCACGAAACCACACAAGGTGAACAACACCGACACCAACACCAACACCAACACCAACACCAACTCCGACACCCACTCCAACACCAACACCGACACCCACACCAACACCACCGCCGCCGTCGCCACCACCACCACCAACAACAACAACCACCACCAACAGCAAACAAACAACAGCAACAAGCACAGAAACAAACAAACAAACAAACAAACAAACAAACAAACACACACACACACAAGCAAGCAAACACACAAACAAAAAAACAAACGTCTAGGGACTAAAGGAGAGACCCATAAAGGGACCCTTGGGGTTATATAGGGGCTTTATGAGACTATACATGGGTATGTAAGGGTTACATTAGGGTATTAGGATTAGGGGTTCCTTCTAGGGGTCCCTCCTATTGCCCCTTAAAAGCGAACAAACATACATACATACATGCTTACTTACAAACAAACAACCAAAACAAACAAACAAAAAACAAACAACTACTACTTCTACTACTACTACTACTACTACTGCTACTACTACTACTACTACTACCACCACCACCGCCATCATTATCACTACCTCACTACCACAACTGCTACGACTACTGCTACCGCTACCCGCTGCTGCTCCTGCTCCTGCTCCTGCTCTTGTCCTGCTCCTGCTCCTGCTCCGCTCCTGCTGCTACTGCAACGGCTACTGCAACGGCTACTGCTACTGCTGCTGCTAACTTGCAGCGGCAAACTTTAAGCAGTGACAATCCGCCTTAAACCTTAGAGGGCTTTCCATTCCGGTCCTTTTCACGTTCTGCGACAGCCACCTCCCTCTGGCGAAGCTCCTTTTCCCGCACTTGTTGTTGTCGGGCAGTCTGCTGGAACTCCCGCTCCTTGTCCTCACGAGGAGACTCAGAAAGGATGCATGTGCAAGCTTGAGCTCAGGTTTAGCAGACGCATACTGTTGACCATGCGTGTGTGCCTCTCTGTGTGTGCGTGTGCAGTTTTGTATGTACGAACGTCTGAGTGCATCAGTGTATGTATGAATGTATGCATGCATGCATGAATGTATATGTAGAATCTGAACTATATGCACTGGTGTTTGTACAGAAGGACAGCGGCGCTACAACATTCATCGAATAGCTTAGGTTCAGATTTCAGACGCCAACATGTGGTGTGCGAGTGCTTGTATCAATGCCCGGATTCCTGCATAGCTCGCTCGAAATCCGCCTCACGCTGCATCAGCTTTGCTTGCTTTTCCTGGCAAACGGGCCGCGGAGACACATGAGCTTGTTCCTTTACTAGCATGATTCGGGACATCACGTCTTTGATGCTCTCACCGTGCTTCAGTGCCGCTGCTGTCCAGTGTCTTCTGTTCGCATGACGGATTTTTCGCGATGTATGTACATAACTCCGTATGATTCAGACAAGTTCTGTATCATAACTGTTTAGCTTGCAGCCGCCCGTGGGTTCTCCTGATTGATTGTCGACATGAGGCTTGTTTACACTAGGGACCGGTGCTTAGGTCCTTCTCTATGACCGATTTCTGGATCAGACACGTGCAGATTGGTACGGGGAAGCTAAACCACAACAGGCATGCAGTTTGGCTTGTCAAGAGCCAAGAACTTCTGACAGCTTTACGGCCCAAGACCACTGTTGCAAATTTCTTGTACCACCATACCACTACGTCTGCAGTCCTTATGGCCGATCGACTGCGATTGCTGCGACTACTGCTACCGCTGTGCCCTTACTGCTGGCCCTACTGCTGTTGCTAGTAGTAGTAGTAGTAGTAGTAGTAGCAGTAGCAGTAGTAGTAGTAGTAGTAGTAGTACTACTACTACTACTACTACTATGACTACTACGACGACGACGACGACTACTACGGCTACGGCTACGGCTACGGCTACGGCTACGACCACGACGACGACGACGACGACGACGACGACTACTTACTTACTTACTTACTTACTTACTTACTTACTTTCTTTCTTTCTTTCTTCTTACTACTACTACTACTACTACTACTCCTGCTGCTACTACTACTACTACTACTACTCCTACTACTACTACGACTACTACCACTACTACTACCACTACTACTACCACCACCACCACCACCACCACTACTACTACTACTACTACAACAACTACTACTACTACTGCTACTACTACTACTACTACTACGACTACTACTACTCCT